ACTGGTTTATACACTTATTCGGTTATATCCCGTGATATATGATCAACAAAAAAACTCAACTGAATAAATGATCAGCTATTTTCTAAGAGATTTTCACTGTTAACTTCTTTCCACTTGGAAGCTAATACTTCTAAATCGACTTTAACATAGTAGTAAATTAAAACCAACTATCTAGTCAATTTCTAATCTATCATTATAGGGTTGTGGAGATTGTTGAGTTTCAATTGATATCATGAATCGATGAATGTTAGGTCACCATTGAAAACCTAGAAGCACTGGGCGGCCATTTCATCCTAGTATGGGAATCCTCAGCTTAACTGGCCTTCAGCTACTCTACAGTTACCCACCATTCCCAAACAGTCTGAATAGAACATTGAAGTAAGCTTCCCGACTCTGATCGAAGTTCAAAAAGCTATAGCTAATCTGAAACGGGGAAGAGCAGCTGGTCCAGATGGATTGGCTACAGAGATCTTTAAAGATGGTGGTCCAATATTAGCGATTAGCTTGACTAATATTTTAGCTAAAATCTGAGAACTGGACGTCATCCCATCTGACTGGTCACAATCACTGATTGTCCCAATATATAAGTGTTAGTGGGATATAGATTGGATTAAGCATGTTTTATGCATGATGGTGTTGCTGCGCGCTGATTGGTTAATTCTAAACCGATCAGCCCGGGCATATTATTGCAGAAAAATCTATAAGCTTCTTATGTATATACTATAAATATATGAACATTATTTAAACTATTGATTGTTGTTCACATACCATTATTATTTTGAATACAATTTCATTCCTGTTCAACGTGTTCTGATTTTGGGGTCTTGTCGAGTGTCATCGTATAAGAACACTAAGCAATAGGAATAGCTGGGTCGTTTATATAGCAAAAAAATTACAATTATAACAGTGGCGACGAGGAAAAAAGAAAATTCATTCAAAATGCCCATATCAGATGACCAGCTCAGCCGAATACTACAACAACAGCAAGCACAACTTGATGCACAAAATGCGGTTGTTGGAGACTCTGATGCAACAGTTTAGCATCCAAAACTCGAGTTCACATGCTGTTTCAAGTACTTCTTGTGATGCAGTTGCTAACAGCATCCCAGAATTCATATATGATCCCGAAAGTGGAAATACCTTTCTCACGTGGTTCAAGCGTTGGGAAGATACATTTAGAATAGAATTCTGTCAACAAGATGACGCATGGAAGACTCGGTTGTTGATGCGTAAGTTGGGAAGCAATGAACATGCACGTTATGCTGATCATATTTTGCAAAAGTTACCTCAAGAGCTCAGTTTCGAGGAAACAGTAACGCAGTTGTCAGAGATATTCGGCGAATCTTCCTCATTGTTTAGTATTCGATATCAGTGTCTGAATTTGGTGAAACGTGAAGCCAATGAATATGGTGCTCTAGCAGACGTCGTCAACAGAGAGTGTGAACGGTTCAAGTTACGCTCGTTGATAGAAGATCAATTTAAATGCCTTGTATTCATCAAAGCTCTGCAGTCACCACAAGATGCTGAAATTAGAACCAGACTTCTGACTCGTTTGGATCAAGACCCAAACGTCACACTCAAGACATTGACAGATGAGTGTAAACGACTACAAAACATCAGACACGACAATCAGTTAATTGAACAGGTAAATTCTAATTTAACCTGCAGTAGTGTAAATGCTATGACTAGGTTAAAAAGTCAGAAACCGAAAACAAGTGGTAGCAAACCAACGACTGCATGTTGGTTATGTGGTGATTGGCATTATGTACGGTTCTGTCCATTTAAGAAGCATAAATGTCAGGTATGCAACAGACGTGGACATAAAGAAGGCCATTGTCCGTCGAATCGTACGTCCCAGCCCAAGAAGAAGTATAAACGTCCTCCACGTGTGGTGAAATCAGCTGAATCTAAATCACTTTCTCTGGTAGCAGCCTTTCAAACAGACTATGACATTCGGAGAAAGTATGTTACGATCCAGATTAATGGTATAGCGCTTCGTCTCCAAATCGACACAGCATCCGATATCACTCTAGTGTCTAGAGAAACGTTTAGCCTGCTTGGGAAACCGCCAATGAAGCCATCCAAGAAAACGGCTAAAAACGTATCTGGAGGTGTACTGAAGCTAGTTGGTGAATTACAATGTGAATTTTCCTTCAATGGAAATAGCTGTAAAGGAGTATGCTATCTAACAGAACGACCAAACCCTGATCTACTTGGTCTAGTTATGTTAGAAAAGCTTGGATTAATGGATATACCCATCAACAGCGTTTGTAACGTGTCGTGTCCATCATTAGACACCACTTCATATGCAAAAAACGACAGGTAAAAAGGTTCCAGAAATACGGAGTGTAGCAGCAGCGGCAATTCGAAACACTCCAGTGTCGTCAGGTGAAGTCAGAAAAGACTTTTCAGCATTTCGTCAGCAGAACGGAATCAAGCACATCAGAACACCTCCATTCCATCCGCAATCGAATGGCCAGGTAGAACGTTTTGTTGGTACGTTCAAAAATGCTCTAAAAAAATCAAGAGGGGAGGGGGACACCGAAGAGATCTTAGAGAGGTTCTTGTTTATACACTGTTCGACACCGAACCCTCAGACAACAAATGGAGTCTCCTCAGCGGAAGCTTTACTTGGCAGAAAAATACGTACACATTTTTACAGCATTCGTCCGACTTCAGCTCTTAAGCCGCAAAGAAACGTGATGATGGAGAAACAGTACAATAGTCATCATGGAGCACAAAAACGATTGTTCAGTGTGGGTCAAAAGGTACTTGCTATAGACTATCGAGGAAAACATCCTACATGGATAGCTGGTCGGATCAAGTAAAAGAAAGGAAATGTGGTTTACGGTGTCCGTTGGTTCAGAAATCTGGTGCGTCATGCTAACCAACTGAAATCAACCTCGATTTCCAACAACGAAACGCAGCATAGATTACCTCTTGATGTTCTGCTAGACACCTTTGAGATCACAACACCTGAAACAGACAGGACAGTCAAGGTGCAAACGAAGGATGATACAACGTCCTTATTACCTAGAAGGTGGACTAACCGGAAGCACAAACCAGTAATACGGTTGCAGTTGGACCCTAACACCAGATCCTACGAATCTGCTCAAGGGGGAAGTGTTAGTGGGATACAGATTGGATTAAGCATGTTTTATGCATGATGGTGTTGCTGCGCGCTGATTGGTTAATTCTAAACCGATCAGCCCGGGCATATTATTGCAGAAAAATCTATAAGCTTCTTATGTATATACTATAAATATATGAACGTTATTTAAACCAGTGATTGCTGTTCAATTATCATTATTATTTCTAATACAATTTCACTCTGTAGACCGAGAGGTTCTGTGGCAGTGTCTGTCATTAAAAAGTGTACCTGAGAAGTACATAAACCTTGTGAAGGCTCTTTACTCGAACACTACCAGTCGAGTGAGAGCTTATGGCGAACTGTCATTTGATTTTACAGCCTCAAGTGGTGTCCATCAAGGCTGTCAACTATCCCCATTTTTGTTTAACTTCATTATAGACCTGTTGCTGGAAATAACGTTCTCGTCGACTGAATTTTCAGGAATTGATCTTCTACCAGGAGGTTCACTTATCGACTTAGAATACGCAGATGACATAGTCCTGTTTGGTGAAGACGCTGACAAAATGCAGAGTCTTCTGTTAGAACTGAGTAATAATGCCAGGATGTTTGGGATGCGTTTCTCCCCATCCAAATGTAAATTGTTACTCCAGGACTGGCCTGCGTCAACAACTGAACTAAGGATAGGGAGTGAAGTAGTCGAATGCGTCGACAACTTCACTTATCTTGGAAGTCTGATCAGCCCTAATGGGTTGGTGTCTGACGAAATCTCTCCACTGATTCAAAAAGCTCGTTTGGCTTTTTCCAACTTACGTCACCTATGGCGAAGACGAGATATCCGCCTATCAATTAAGGGACGAGTATACTGCGCAGCAGTTCGCTCTGTTCTACTTTACGGCTGTGAAACATGGCCATTAAGAGTAGAAGATACTCGTAGGTTACTAGTATTTGACCACAGATGCCTTAGAAATATTGCTCGCATCTGCTGGGATCACCGGGTAAGTAATAGTGAGGTTAGACGCAGGGTATTAGGGAACGATGGTAAATCAGTTGATGAGGTGATGAATCTTCATCGACTGAGATGGTTGGGCCACGTGTTTCGTATGCCTGAACACCGATTACCACGACGCGCAATGTTGAGTAGTGTAGGGGATGGTTGGAAGAGAGTTAGGGGCGGATAAACCAAAACATGGCATCAGTGTTTGAAGTCATTAACTTCTAGTCTGAGCCATGTTGGCAGATGCAGACTACCTGGCTGGGGTCCACGTGACTATCGTAACCAATGGTTGGAGACTCTAGGTGACATGGCTCAGAACCGGTCACAATGACGAAGGTGTATACATTATTCGTCTTTCTTAAACCGTGAAATTAAAATTGCCTTATACCTTTCTTTCTACGAACTAATTCTTTCTCACAGTATATCTTTATATGAAATCCCCTTTATATATTACTACCACTGAAGTAACTACTTCTATGATTTTGGTGTTCGTCGTGTGTTAATGGTGTGGCAACTTGGACCGATGCATATATGTGCCTGGTCCTACGTTATAGCTGATTGGCTGACAGTCAAGTGATAGAAAGGAAAGATAAATCGATTAATGGTGCTGTTAACAAAATTGGATTAGATATTTCATGCTTGTATTTTATATATACATCAATGCCCTATATCAACGCATGGTTATGTTTGGGACAGAACTGGAGTGTTTGATGCAACTACGAAAATGCAAAGCGCTTATCCACGGGGCCGCTAAAAACTTCCCTAATGTGTAAACGGTGTCACCTAATAGCTTAATGGAAGTTCTTGTCAGACGTTGTTTATGGGGTGCATTGATTGTGTCTTATTTATTTATTTATTTTGCCAACTTAAATTTTACTTTTCATATTGAAATGTACGAAAATCAGAAGCACATACCCTTGATACGATGCGAAGTACCAAGTCGTTCACACACACAAAATCTGTAGTTCTTAAGACCGTACGATTGTGACGAGTTATTAAGCCTATGAGAATTAAAAAATATACACATCTGTCCTCGTTGCTCAAACACTGGAAAGTAGCTCCCATTAAGAATTCTAAGTTGGTAGTGAAATCCCGTAAGATCACCTAATGATTAGAGAGGGAATTATTAAAATTCTAAAAATTTTACACAGGAATACTGCCAAAGAGACAAAGATATGCTGTAGGCTGAGATTTTAATGCAAATAATATTAGCTTGACCATATTTAGGCACTTTGGAAACGAGTTCGTGTCTTAATGAAAGGAAACTGTCATATAGGCACTGCAACCAATGTTAAGAATATCGTTTTTATTCGACATATTTAAACGATAAACACAATGCGAACCCAAAAAACGTAAATCACGAACCTCCGCAACACTCAAAACATGCTCTTCAATCCAATGTCCAATATCTAAGAGACGAACAAGTACATTTGTTGCTGTGATCATATATTCCAGTAATGTTTGAAAGCTATCTCTCGTTGCTAAACTGCTAAAAGTCGGAAACTACTAAAGATGTTTCTACGCTTTATTCTTATCATACAGTCTCGAAAATAATAGTTATAATGAATTCTTATCTCATTCAATAAATTCCATTGGAAGAAAAGCTCATAGTCTATCGAACCGCTTGTATGGCCACTGAGATCTCAATGAGTTATGGTTAAACTGGACTTTTTGTGCGTTACGCGACTGATCACCGAGCGCTGAACAGTTAATCATACAACTTCAAGGTCATGAACGAACGATGCGGACTAATAAATTACACGCTATTAGCTGTCCCATGTTGCAGTGGTTCCATTATGTATTCCTCTAATCTGTCCTTACTTTGATGATTATAAGGCTGTGAAGTTTTTGTCCTGTGCAGTTATCAAATGAGCCAAGGCACCTGTATTCCACGAAAGATGTTCCATGAGATTAGTAGCTTCGACATAAGCTAGGACATACCAATCCTGTTCCACCCGAGTGAACTTAAGTCCTCCAAATAGATCACATAAATGAAGTATTTTTCTGCCTTTTTGAACAGATGAAGTGTTTGATTGCTGACAGTTTCGATGTGATGTCATTTAGAATAAGTTCATGGGCATATTTCGATTAATTGGTTCTTCCTCCTAATTAGAAACACAGAGCTTTTATTTTACAGTTACAGATTGAGGTATCTAAATGTAATTTCGGTGGATAACTACACAGAAAGCTTTAATTTTGTACATGCGTGTCCAAATCCGGCGATATATTCTCTCTGTGTGACGAAAGTCCCTTTTTTTACCTTACCATATTACTCCCTGACTCTGCATTCATAATCACCATATGAATGTATGTTTTACTATAAGGAGGACAATGGGATGGATGGCTTGTGTTATTCCTGGCTATGGAAGATTCCCAGTCGGTATTTTAAAACCAACGACGGATAGAGCTCCGATTCGTTATTTTGGTTGATGATTCCACGGGAAATTCAGTAATCAGTTGATAGTGGTATTTTTTACACTATTCCTGCGAACCTTCTGCATAAATCATAGTACAGAGATGGCCTTCAGTTATTCTTAAATGATCTTGAGAATCTTTAAGTTGTTGAGAATACAGTTGTCATATGGAAATAATTTGTTGTAAATTAATCCACGATGTATAACTAGTTTTACATTATTGATGGCCCTAGGTTATCAGTAGGATTTTGAAGGCGATATGTTTAGCATCCTAATTGTCCATATAAATCGAAATCATCTTACCTGTAGATCCTTCGTAAAGTCAAAGAATGTTTCTCAGTCTAGCCCGTTCAGCTTTCATGTTGTTTGTGTGGGCACCAGGTGTTTGATTTAAAATATGCCATTTATAAACGACGAGATGACGGAGATTTCCATGTCTGCAAAGACACTGACACGCTCTATCTGTGTAAACCGCTTTTCCTGGTACAACATATTATTTATTGATTCGGTCCTTGGTTGGGCACTTCTCGACGATCGACTGCAATCTGTCGTAGAATTGGTCTTTAGCGTCTTCATCGTAGTCGTTGGTCGGCGCATAGCATTGGATGACGTTCATTGTAATGCCCTCTCTCTTTGTTCTGAAGGAGGCTTTGATGATCCTTGGTCCATGAGATTCCCATCCAATAAGTGCATTTTATGCTTTTCTGGACAGCATCAATGCAACTCCTTGTGTATGTGGGGCATTTTCTTCTTCATGACCAGAGTATAACAGAAGTTCTCCTGAAGACAGTCGTTGTTGTCCAACCTGCGTCCAATGTGTTTCGCTGATTCCAAGAACCTCCAGGTTGTATTTTCTCATTTCTGCAGCAATTTGGAAAACTCTTCCGGTCTCCCACATTGTTCGGACATTCCATGTACCTATAAAAATTGTCGCTCTGGTTGTAAGAAGGTTCATCGGCCTCATGACTTCCGAAGGAACTCGGCTTTCATCATGAGACGTCATAATTATTCCTTCTACTCCCAGGGCAGAGTTTAAATGGTTTGAATATTTTTTTCTGTTTAGCGTTTTTTTAGCGAGTTAATTTTCTACGGGATGGGGTTGCTAACCCCATGCCCAACCCTCCTCGTTTACCCGAGCTTGGGACCGGCAACAGCCTGCGGAGGAGCTACAGTGTTTGAACCCTACATTTATTAAAGTAAAGTTGTAGTTAATAGGAATGTTTTCCATAGTGCATGATCCGACACTGGTTGAGGTTAAATGGTAATTGCCATTTCTCGCTTCAGATAGTTAGGTTATTGAAGTCACTTTGAATCGGAGGTCCGATTTCACTTAGAGTTTCAGGCTTCAATCTGTATACCATTTTGGGATCATCGGAGTATAAGTATGGTCTCCCAAATATTTTGGTGTTACGTATACCATTTATATACAAACGAAACAAGAGTGGACCTAATATACTCGCCTGGATGACCCCACTCAAATAAACCTATTAATTGCCTTGATTTGACCGCTCCAGCAAGGCCTCACGACTTGTCGATGTGACGCATCAATGAACGGAGAGGGGCTGGCGACGATGATGCTGGATTCCGATAGAACTTATTTGCTTATCTAATACGCATCGCTAGATGAGGTATTACCACTCTATCTATCAAATGCTGTTATAATAGGTTTTCTGATTATGCACAGTGACATTCACTTTTGTATTTTATATTCGAAATTCGATGTTTGATTGTATTCATCCAATGAATCTATATTGAATTCCATATAAAGGCCAAAATTCATAAGAGTATCAAGCAGTTTTTTGATGAACTCAGGAAGATATAGAGGGAGTGTTGAATATTAGAATGACATTTAGCAACTACCCAAGTATACTGGTCACTTAGTTTCAAGTTCAGATGAATGACTGGGTAGAATCCTTGAATAGATAAATTCCGAAGACACCTCCTGAATTTAAATTAGCTCACAGACCTTCTCCTATTGGTGATTGCATGGCAAATATTGAAGAAGTTGGTAAGACCATCAAACAAATCAAGGATGGCAAAGAAACAGCACTGGGTGGAATATCGGCCAACGCATTGGAATCAAATATAGAGGTAACTGTAAAGATGCTTTTCTTTCTCCGCAGGGACATTTTTGGGCAAGAACTAGTGTCAGCAGACTGGAAACGAACACCTAGTGAAGATGGTGAATAAAGGAGATCTACTTATAGTAACTTCGGAGGCATCATGCTACGATCGATACCATAAAAGGTTTACGACATTCGGTTACTGAAATAAATGAAAGATCCGATATTCGTACAACTTCATGACTAACAAACATACTTTCATAAGGATCGATCATGTGCCAATCTGATCGCAACACTGTTGGTAGTTCTTGAGAGGCAGACCTAATGAAACTGATCACTATATATCAAAGTCCTTGATTATTGGAAAGCATTCGATACTATGGATGGTAAAACCCTTTGGAACCGTCTTCAACATCATGAGTAATCGAGACCACCAACGTCATATGGAATTAATATGAAAGGCCGAACTGCAGAATTATGCATAGAAGGAATCTAAAACATGCATTCTAACTGAAGACTGACTTCACGCAAAATTACTTATCCTCGCTTTTCTCCCGTCTATCAATTGTTGACTCAATTATGAAGAACTATTCACCTTAAGAGAAGTCCTAAATAACAGGGACACCTTGGATTCGTTGAACGATTTAAAAATTATGGATAATCCAACCATTACAGTCCATATAAATGAAAGGATGTAGGAGAAGACGATCCTCCACCGAAGTAGATGTGAGTATTCACAAGGAAAGAGGCAGTATTCACGTGTGCAACATGATGAATACCCACCAAGTAACACTTGTTGTTTCTTTCTATTGAGATTTGGGACGGACCTAAGATGTTTATAGATTTAGGAAAAAAGCGACTAAGCTGCTTTAGTGCGATCGATCCTCCTTAAGATAAACAACAGTCATTTACACACAACACATCAAAACCCTAACGGCTTGCATGAGAATAACTCGTGCTGAGAATTCTATATTGTACCAGATTATAATATTGAATAAAGCTATTAATAATAATAATAATAATAAGACGAATTTCAGGGAACTTAACATTCAAGGTAGAACAAGCAATAGAAAATGAATTTTTACGTCTGTTGATATATTTAAGTAAGAAAAATACGACCATTAAACGCACAAATCTAGCTAACTGACAATAACAACAACCGATCATAGAGCAAATGTCATGCGGAAAACCAAATTAAGAGAGAATATTTTAATAGTTTACATTTATGGGGAGATCCTAGCAAATCTAATAAAATTTGATCAATATTGTGATTGCCTCACTACACTTATTGGGATCAGTACACTTGATTATGTTGCTTCAAATTAATCACGGAAAACCGGTAGTTAGTGGAAGACACCTGAAGGATCAATAGTCCTTGAGAACAAGTGAAAAGAGGTGCTCAGGATGGAATTGCTCGTAAATCCCTGGTCAGTGACCCAAGCCCTATGAGGAGTAGAAGGATTAGGCAAATGCGTGATCAGCAAAGATATTTCGGCGGCTCTTTAGATTCATCATTTTCTTTTGACAATAGAATTGCATGTGAATGCAAGAAAAAAAAGAACGTCAAAGTTAAGGGCTATATAGATAGTTTAAAGTGTTATGAAAATAGGGACATTTACGTTTCGCAACTTTGCAAATCGATGGAGAGTACTACAACGTACCTGAAAAACACACTAAAAGTTAGGCGATGGAATATTAAAGCACCAAAGTAAGATAAAGCAATCTGTTGGAAGTTCACTTCCCAAGAGAACTGGACCTTTCAATAGCAGCGAAAGCTTTCTGTCTGTAACGGTAAATAACCCTCCAAAATCAAGAGCTCTGTAAGTCTTCGACATATAATGCTGACCGCATTGATTTTAATGGATTCACCTGACTGAAGTCTATCGGTCATGCATCGGCACCAGATTACGGGCGGGCACACCGTGCTTCACATCTCCTACAATCACTA